GAAAAAACATCGGTGCAAATTATAAGTCTGTATCATAATGTCTGGTGTTTTCGTGTTTTCGTGTTTGTTGGTTTGTTTTTATTTTGTTTTATTTTGCGAGTTGGTTATTAGATGCTGCTCCAGCCAGCCAGAGAATTCCCCGCCGCCCCGCCCTTTCCTCCCTGTGCTGCAAGCAGCAGGTGCACCTCGCAAACGGAGGGCGCCCTTACTTCCCGCAAATGGGCGATAGAAAACCGATTGGGGCCTATGCGCTGGCATGATGTCGGGGCAGCATGAATACGAGCAACTTTTCTTTTGCCGATGTCCGTGATGCCGCCTCCACCACGATGCCGCACTGGGCAACCGCCCGTGTCGCCCATATTAAAAAACCGCTACTAGATCTAGTTATTAAGCTAAAGTTTAATCAGAGAATTAGTCAGCACTAACGCATGCACAATAGAATGGGCGGAGCGAGAACATATCCGAGCATTTTGAGCGTATCACAAGAGAATCAAAGTACACGCGAAAACGAAAGTAAAAGCAATTCCGCATATTAAAAAACAGGTGTTCTGGCTTCATTTTTGTGGCGTTGTAAGCTCGTCAATTTTTCTTGAAGCAGGAAAGAAAAGACTGTTTTACAGCTTACCGTGTTTTCTGGAGAGTGGGAGCTTACTATTTATAATTTAATATGGATATGGATAGTCTGACACATGGCTAGCTTCTGACTGCTAAGCATGGCCTAGCAGTCAGACGCTATGATCTGGTCCCTGGTGCGTATACATAATTGGTATATTAAAATGTAAATTTTCCATTTACCTCGGATTTCGGAGCTGGGTGTGGCGTCATTCTGGAGTTAAATGTGTTTCCGCAGTAAAGTTGGAAAAGCAAAGAAAACACAAGGTAGGGCCTTTCATGCATCGTTAACAATACAGATAAATTACATTTGAAAACCACCGCGTTCGTGAATAGAGCCTGGTCAGTACCCTGGTTATAGCTCATTTAAAATATTGTTTACAGGCACTACTACCATCTAGTTTTTTTTTTCAAAATCGGGGTTGGGGTGACTGCTCCAATGTTCCGAGTTGAAAGTCTGACCTAGCCGACCACTCTCCTTCGGCTTTCGATTTTA